ATATGAAGTGAAAAAATCAGAAACGCAGTAGCTGAAGCCGTAAGATGGCGGACTGCGTCTGTTGTCGCAGCTTCTTCTTCTGCTGTTGCCGCTGCTCTGAACCGCGGGAAGCAGCGCCGCCTGCCGGAGCGCAGCCGCACTGCACCCGCACAGCTGCAGCTGATCTTTTGTAGACAACATAAAAACTGTCCTGTTCAGTACAGCGCACAGTGTTGTTTGGCCACATGTGAGTCCAGCAGCTGGACCAGCTTCAGTCAGAGCAGTGAAACTGGTCCGAGCTGTGTGTCTGTCTGATGGACTGATGACCTCCAGCTCCTACATATGATGCAAAACAAGGAAGAAACTGAAGACTCTGTTTGGAATTGCAGCTCAGTCTGTTGAACTGTCTGCACATGAAACACTTTGCAGCTGAACACTGCGTCACAGGTTGTCGCTCAGTCGCGCTGAAACCAGCCTGGATGTGTTTGTGAGCTGCAGCCGTCCAGAGTCCAGCGTTCGCCTTCAAACTAAGTGTTGCAATAAAACTAATATTTATCTTTGTTCAGGTTCAGGCTGTGAACTGTGATTAAAGTTCCTCTAATAAAGAATCGGTCAGGAGGGACTTTAGCAGATTTGGTTGATTTTATATGAAATGAACCAGGTGTGGAAACTGAGGCGGAAAATTGAACTTAAAATCAATTTTAGGAATTTACGGAACAAAAACGTAACAGCTCATTTTCATCTGAACTCAAACTGAATCACCGTCAGATGGAGAAACATGTAAAAGATCAGCCTCAGCCAGAAACCCAGAGCACGAGAAGCTTTAGCACCACAACCACTAAACTACGACCAGAGTCGGGTCATACGGTTGGAGGATTCAGAACACAGCAGCAGCGTTTCCTCCACTCTGCCCTCCGTGCTGGTCGAGATGCTTCGTTCCTATTGGCTGAGCGGTTTCACGCGTTAGTGCAAAGTCACTGACCTGCTAGCCGCTGATATGAATAGGTTTCATTTTCAGTTTCCAAAATGGAGCGTCACAAACATCGGACCGAAGGACTGAAACTTCTGACAGTCTGTTGTTTGTGAAACTTGAAAAGCTTCCAGACACGCCAGAGCTCTGATGTTTCACGGAAGAATTCAGTTTGTGTTTTCTGGGTTTTTTTCAGAAACATAACAAAAACTTTCAAAAGCAGAATTAAAGAATAATTTATTTTCTATTACAACTGAATTTATCCCCCAAAATAAACAAGAAAACATTTTTAACAAATAGAAATCAAAATACATTTTCAAAAATCAGGTCTTAAATACTAATATTTTTATCATTTAACAGAAAATAGAGAATCTCTGATTAGAAAAATACCCACGAGTTTCTACAGAATTCCCAGAATTCCTTATTTTTTCCCTTTTCACAGCAAAATCCAACAGTTATCTCAGAAAAAGTTTCTGAACTGATCAATAAAATCACATGAATCACATTTAAAACAGCAGTAACAGACCGTCACCATGGAAACGCTCACAAGCGGACAACTGGTCCCTCGTTGTTGCTGTAGCAACACAACACAAACACAGCTTCAGTGTTTCCTCCCTTTCAATAAATTATTACAAATTTTCAATAGCTATTAGCAAGTGATCAGCTGAATGTACACGTCTACGTGTTTGAACTGTCTCTGGTTTCTGATTGGT